CTTGAATGCGGAGCTGTGTTATCGTTGTGTTAGCAGGACAGCTGGTTTGTGCTTCTTGATTCTTAAAAAACACCCCAGGTAATGACAGTGCTGCAAGGGAGCTCACGTTCACACGAGGTGCAGGGGTAGATGGGAGGACAGCAGCTCCTCTGGGGAGGAGGATCTGACAATTAAACCCACCTAAAAACATGTTTTGCTTTTCACCCTGTGCTACAGCATAGAGGAGCAGTAGAGAATACCCCATCTGGGGGATCGAGAGGGAAATAAATGGGAGAGTGACAGTCTCTGTTTACACTCAGAGGGCCCTTCTCACCCCAGTGCACCATGCAATTTGTATGCTATGTTGTACTCCTCACACAGGAGGTAAAAATATGTTGAGGAAGACCTGAAGAATTCCCTGGCTTACAAAGACAGAGCACTCAAATCCTCTAATCCTGTTTGATGCATGCTGTTTGCCTGCAAAGCCCGAGGTCTTGCCGATACACGTGTGATCGTTGGCGTGTGTATACTTCGGATGGGCCTGTAGCCCCTGGGGGGATTGGATCCCCATGGGAAGCGTACATGTCATGTCTGGGCTTAGTCTAACAGGTGAGCATTTCCCATCTGAAATCCCAACTCTGTCAGAGAATTGCCCTGTCCAATTTTCCCTTCTGGTGAAGTAGCTGCAGAGCTCATCCCTGTGGCCCCAGAATTTGATCTTGTAGAATTGAGTAGGATCTTGCTCTGGAGCTAGGAGATGCTCCCATTTAGATAGTAACACATGGAGGTGCTTCCTTTTTCTATGAAGCGTTATTAATCTATACGATCATTTGGAGACAAGTCATCCCTGCCCTAAGGGGTGTGTGCTACAGGTCTTAAAAATGAGATCACATTTCTGGTGTGTAAATTCCTGAAGCTTGTGCTATTGGGTAGAAACATCTCCTGATGTTTTTTAGGGTTTGTGGTTGTTTCTTTTTTTTCTTTTGCAGGCTGGGAGATTGGGTGCTGTTAAGGTCAGCAGATGACCCACCTAATCTGTGTGCTGTTGGAAGGTTGTAGTAGAAGATTGAGTTTAACAATGAATTTCTGGGCTTTGCAATGTGGGAAAAAATGTTGCTGTTCTGTAAAGGTCTGTCTTCTTAATAATTGAACTGAATGAAGGAAAAGTTCTTATTTTTTTCCATCTGTTCTATTAGCTTGACATCTTTTCAGTGTGAAATTGTTACTGCTCAGTTGTCTTCTCAACCTTTGCACCCCCCCTAGTAACAGACTCGTTTTCATCCTGGCCATCAAGTTGTCGTAACACGCTTGAGGGGTCCCCTTCCCTTGCCTCCCTTCTTGATACTGACCCCCCAACACCAGGTTCAGCTTTTGTGATCACTGCCACATCCCGTGAGTGCTTCTCTCTGGGTATCCTCCCCGTTGTGAGCCCTTAGATAGACAAGTTAGGGGATGGGACTGCCAGAGATGAGCAGCAATCGCTGCTGAGCTCCAGCCTGCATCCAGATCTGAGGTTCAAATCCTTCTGCTGGAGCCTTTGTCTGTGCCTCTTGGCTTACTTCTTTTGCTGGGTTTGTGTTACTCCATCCGAGTTCTTCGCTGGGACCTTGCTGTGGCTAGCGGGTCCCGCTCAGGAGAGACCAGAGCTGGCTGAAGCTAGAAACTCCCTTGTATCTGCAGCCTGCCCAGGCTGGAGGCCACCGAGGGGAAACGGGGAGGCTGGGAGCACAGCAGCTGCGCTGGTAACGTCTGCGCAGCCCGGGGTCTCTGACATGACACAGCCGTCTCCGAGGCTTGGGTTTTATGGCCTGCCTCCTCTCCTGTGTGCACACTCTTGTTCCCCACCTTCCCTTCATTCCTAGGACATGACTCTGTGATATAAAATACCCTCTAATTTCCTGAGCCAGGCTGGGGCTCCCTGGAGAAGGCAGTGTCTGTCCGCCTGTCCCTCGCCTGCCTCTGTGTCCTTGTTCCAGGCTGCCAGCTGCTCCCGCCGGCAGGGAGCGGGAGGGAAGCTGGGAGCGTGGCATCTTCCCAGGCCGTGGGGAGTGGGTCTGCCGGCTCTTCTGAAGAAGCCGGTGGGAGGGTAGGGATGGAGCCGTGGTTGGAGCTGGGTTTCCTCCGCTTCCCTCCCTGCTGCTGGGGCTGCCCCTTCCCCTCCCCCAGCTGCATGGGAGCAGATGTGGTGCTGGTGTCAGCCCTGGCAGCCCCCTCTGCACACCCCAGCCGGGCTCCTGCGGCAGCCAGAGCCTCGTCCCTTCCTCCTCCCCCCAGCTTGGCCCCGTGTCGCTGGGGATGGCGGTTGAATCATCCGCCCACTCGGCCTGCCTCCCCTGTAACCCTCCCTCCCTCCTTCCTCCCTCCTTCCTCCCTCCCGCAGGTCTCTTTGTTGGAAAATTCAAGGCAGATGAGTGCCGGGGAGCGCTGGGCCTGCAGGCCAGGCGCTGAGCCTGCAGCTTGGCCACAGCATGTCTGCTGGCCCTGGGGATGGGCTGGGGGCTGGCGAGCACCTGGGCTGCAGGGCGATTGTCCGTGCAGAGCCGCAGAGCTGAGGGGACTGGACCCACGCTCGCTTGGGCCAGGCTTGGGTGGCCTCCCCATAGAAGGGGGGTTTTCCTGGCCGCTGTCTTGTGCCCAGCCCCCAGCAGGACTTTAAACATGGGAAAATCTGGAACTGGGCTGCCCTGATGGACGGTAAACTAAAAGCAGTCCCTCTGAAATCAGCCTTGGGCAGATGTTTTCCCTGGGATGTGGTGGCTCCTGCCAAAAGGAAAGGCGTTTACAGAACTGAGAGAGCCCGAGCTCCTTCTGGGTCTGCTCTTTCGGGATTACCAGGTTCAGACCCCATCAGCTGGGGGCTCTTCTCAGCACATTCACAGGATGATTTTCCCTCCCAGCAGATCGGGACAGTTTCATCTCATGGCTGCCTCCCTGTGCAGCCGCGGAGGAGAAACGTGGCACTGCTCACAGCTCCCCCAGAGGCTGCTCAGTTGGTGGCTTCTGATGTGAACCTGCGGCCTTGTTCGTGTGAGAAGTGTGACTTGAAGAGAGCGGTGAGAGGTGGGGGGAGGAAGGCTACAGCTCAGGGCTGAGGCTGGAGAGGAATGCAGTGCATGAATAGCTGGGATGGTGCAAGGGATGACAGGCATGAGCAGAACTGCAGAGATATTCCTCCTTGGCATGCGCCTGACTCCAGTACTATCAGTTTTTCCTCTGTAGAGTCTAAATATATAATCCATTGTGCTCTGGCATCTGGGTGATAAATAGTGATAAATAATGTAGTGGCTGGGGAGGGAGGGAGGGAGCAAACTGCTCCAGGGTGGAGCTGACCCCTGGGATGTCTGGGGCAGCAGTGGGGTAATAACAGCGACAAGGAACCAGCTCTCAGGACAGAGGGAGCTTGTTCACCACCAGGCATTGCAGTTGAGGGCAGGGGGGTGGGGGGTGTCTTGGGGTTGGTTTCCTCTGTCTCCGCTGAAAGTGGAATATTTCATTTGTGCATAGTGGTTGGTCACCTTGACCCTGCAAACGTGTCATCCTGTCCCTTCACCCACAGGCAGGGCTGTGTGTCCCTGAGCAGGCAGCATGCAGCACTGAAAATTGGCTCTGCCTGAAGTTCTCTCTAGGAATTGGATGAAGTCCAGGCTGCTGGCGACAGTATGAATGGATGTTAGTGCAGCCAGGCCAGGGTGCGTGTGTGTGTGCTGGAAAGTGAGGAGACAACTTGCCTGCATTGGAAAGGGTTGGCGTGGTCACCAAAGGGGACGGGTCCTGGGGAATACTGTCTGGGCTGCAGGGGCTTTGGGCAGTGGCTGGCACAGGGCATGCTGAAAAAGCATTAATCCAGCAGTGTTCTTAATCCATCCTTGCTGCTCCTTTCCTGCTTTTTCCTGTTTCTCCATCTGTGCAAGAAGAACTAATGCACATCCTGGGAGTGGATTAGACTGCTCAGACCGTGACCTCTTCATCTGTGCCTTCCGGGGATGGGTAGCATTTGTCCAGTGCCTTTGCTGGCTCTCCAGTTTGGGCAGGGATGGTGAATGCCAGCAAAGACGTTGCAATGTGCTGCCTTTCACCCTGTGGGACAGCCCTTTGCTGAGCATTCGTGACACTGGAGCAACCAGCACAGCTGGCAGGGTGGAGCGAGCCTGCTCCCCAGGTTTTAGTCTTCTAGCAGTGTTCATTTGCCTTTTGCTGATGCCTTGCAAGTGTTGGCGAGCCTTGCCGTCGTATTTTCAGTGACGGTTTGGACAGTTGGCACACCGGGGAGTGCAGCCAGGAGCCCAGAGTACCTGTTTCTCCGAGCCCCAACATGCTGCGACTTGATGGCAGTGCCTGGACTGCGTGACAGTCTGGGGCAATGGGTCACAGCTCCATGTCCCACGCTTGCATCCTCTTCGATTCTCCGTGAGTTGGGGACTGGTCTGGGGACCTTTCAGAACTGTTGATGGAATCCCACCTCTACGTGCTCTGTTAGTTACTTACAAGCTACTGCTTTTTAATATATAATTTCCCTAGGTTTCACATTCATTCTTTTGTTCTTTTTCTGTTGGATTCTTTTCCTCTCCAAACATAATTTATTCACTGTTTAGTTACTACATTATTTTTTTAAGTACAATACTGTCAAGATACCTTAGATATAGCTTGGAAGGGGAAATTAATATCGTAAACTACTTGTAAGATGTCTTTGTATTAAATAAGAGTGCTTAAAATGTTGTGATTGAGTAGAAAAGAAAATTAGCTTGTTGAAGCCTATTTTGCCATTAAATTTGATTTATCAAAGATGGTATTAATTGAATCTGGTGATTTTACAAGTTGTTTTGATTGCAGATTCACTGTGGAAAAGGTATTTAGGTGCCCAGTGATATTTAAAATAGAAAGAATAAATTTTCTCTCCAAAGAAAACTGATGTGTTTACTGTCGGGGAAAAAAAATTATTGGTGCTGCCTCCATTCTGAAGACGGATAATAACATAGCTGTTTGTGTAATGCAGGAACATGACATTGTGGCACAACTATAAAGCTTGAAGTGATGTTGAAATATTATGTACGTAATTAAAAAGCAACAGTAACATTTGAGAGACAGCATGTTTAATGTATTTCACTTTCATCTATTAGAAATCTCTGGCATACGTTGTGATTCTTTCAGATCATTATAAAGAGGTTTAAATTATGTATTTCTTTGGAAATAAGTGAACTGGTGGAAATACGCATCTGAATTTTTTTTTGACTGATTAAAATGTAGATCAGGGGATAAAACTGCTGGATGCACACAGGCGAGCCTGTTCTGCCCTTGTGTTCTCTGCTCCAGCCTGCCAGTTATGGCTGTGAGCACAGGAAGCTGTAGCCGGGAGGGACCTGCCGGTCCTTTGCCTGCTGCATCCGCAAGCCTGGGCTGCCTGTTGCAGGGTACAAACACCCACCTGGGAAAATCTCCTTGTCCTCTGCAGTCCTGCACCTAGCTCTGACTGCCTCCTCTCCTCTCTGCAGGGTGGTGAAAGAAGAGATCTCCGATGACAATGCCAAGCTTCCCTGCTTCAACGGCCGGGTGGTGTCGTGGGTAAGCAAGCTTCTTGCTTCGGTATCTCACTACCTGTTTCTGCCCTCTCCGAAAACCACCATTTGGTTGCATAGTGCCAAGTAAGGCACGGGGACCGCTCCATACTGTCGGTGTGCTGGCTGCTAACGAAGCTGATGAGCTGGATTGCCACGCTCCAATCCCTCAGCTGGAAAGGGGACTGCGTGGTGCCGGGTCCCCCGTGCTGGGGACGATGTGGGATGCCTCTCTGGAGAGCCCGTGGTAACTGATGCCTGGCAGAGGTGGTGGTCCCAGCCTGTCTGCAGCGTAACCCGTGTGCCCCTATGGCAGGGTCAGCTTTCCAAGGAAAGTCCTGCTCCGGTGACTGGCGCAAAGGGCTTAAGTGAATTTAGTGCTGGCGAAGCGGACTGGATTTGAGTGCCCTGACGACTAAAGGTACTGCCTGGGCAGCTGCAGGACAAGCTTCTCCCTCCATGCCATGCCATGCACATGCTGTCCCCTGCCCGCATGCCTCCCTCTGCCCCCAAGGGGACCCTCTGGGTTTTTTGGTGGGGGGGAGAGGGGTATTCAGTCCCCATAGGCAGCTATCCCTTTTTCCCCTCTGCTGAGCTGCAGTTTGTGCTGATGGGAGTGTGTGGATCTATGCCAGGAGCAGAACCAAGACCCAAGTGCCTTTTTCCAGAGGCCACCAAATAGCCCCTAAACAGTAAAAACCCTCAGCAAATTAGGCTAAGTCAGACCTAATGCTGCTTCTATCCCTGCACCAAACAGCTAGGCCTCGGCTGGGGGCCCATAAAGCGACTGCATTTCAGGAGGGTGGGCGGAGGTGACGGACCAGGCAGGTGGGTGCCCTGCTGACAGACTGGCTCCCGCTGGGATGCTGACCAGGGTGGCGGAGTGGGGTCCTGCCCATTCCCCGAGGGGGTGCATGGGGGGCTCCCACACAAAGAGCCGGTGGCTAGGCCCTGCTGTCCTCCCTCTAGTGGTTAGCTGGGCCCCTTGGCAAACATCCCGGCCAGCTCCTGGCCACCATCCCCGACACTGCTGCATCTGCCCCGAGACATCTTCCTACGCCTCCCTTTCCAGCTGCCTTTTGTTTTCCCCTGCTTTTTGAGGAGTCCCAGAGTCCCTGAACCCTTTCCATTGCTCTTTTTTTTACCTGGTGTGCTTTTCCTCATGGTCCACGCATCCATGCAGCTGCTGATTTTCCTTGCAGGGGCTTTCTGGTTGCTCAGTGTGAGCAGCACGGATCTGGTGTGGCTCCGTCTGCTGTGACCAGGCCACGGTGCTGCTGCGCTGGTGTGCTGGCTCCTTGCAGGGATTTTGTGCCTGGAGTTAGGACCGCTCCCAGCTCTTGTGTGTGAAGGGTGATGGGGCTCTCAGTGACCTTTATTCACAACTGACGATCCCTTTTTCTATCTCTGCTGAGAATCTTCTTGTCCATGGGTGATTTGGGGGCTGGGGGGGAGCACTTGCTTTGCTGCTTCTGCCAGACAGGCCAGGATAAGGCTATTTTAGGAACTTGGTACTAATTTTAGCTAGGGGGAAAGACAGGAGGTTGGATCCAAGTGAATATTTCATGACAGTGCAAGAGGCAGGAAAAGTGCAGGGTGGTTATCAAAACCTTCCCTGGAGGAAACCTCAGCCCCGGGAGTGTCAGAGGAAGGCAGCATCAGTCCCACTGCTTGGGAACACCCGCCCTCCTCTCCTCACTGCTGTTTGACAGCTGCCTGTGACTAGTTCCCTCTGTCCAGATCTATTTGCCTGGTCTTGTCTTGAGATCTCCAAGCACAGAGCATTATATGACTTTTCCCTAGGTAATGCTGGACACTTCCAGCATCTCTTCTCCCCTGTGCTCCTGGACAGTGGCTTCGAGATCAGAGATGTGGATCTCAGGGAGTGGGATGTGTCCTGGGAAGACAAGTCACCAGGAAGGTGCTGGGAGCAGAGCCGGGCATGTGCCTGGGGCTTGCTGGAGGGAGGGAAGCTGAGCCAAGTGTGAGACAAGAGCTGGTTAGACAGTTGCGAGAGCAGGAGCCGTTGGGCTTGTCCTGGGGCTTGTGGGACGGGCTCTGCAGCTTTTGACTCCCCAGGGTGCTCTCTGCCCTGTCTGCTGCCTTGGCTGCAGCTTTTTCAGGGCTGCTCTGTCTTTCTTGCCATGGCTGCATCCCTGTCTCTGTTCCCACTGCCTCCCTGGCAGCAGACCCCTCTCCCCCTGTCCTAATGATGATCTGTGGAGTCCATCCCCCTTTCTGTCCTGGTTTTCCGAGTTCTTGAAGGTGGGCAGGGCACTGCTCTGTGTTTGATCAGTGATGCTGGGAGGTGCTCAAGACCTGTGTAAATGGGCTGTGCCTCCAGCACCTGGATTGACGTCTGCTCCTGCCTCCATGCAGATGTAGTCCCCTCACTGGCAAGCAGCAGAGCTGCCTTTGCATTGACACTGGCTTATGGTTTGGGCAGCAGCGATCAGCTCCTTTCCAGCCCATATTTTATGATCCTTCTGTCCTGACTCACAGTGGGGCATCCCTCACCTCTGTTAGATCAGACCTCTCCTGTGGTGGTTGATGGCTTGGCAGTTGGTTCAAGTACATGGGCTGAGGCTTGTCCTCTGCCCTGGTCTCCTCACCTCCCTGGACTGGCTCCAGGCTGACCCACAGCCTCTTTTGTCTGGGGCCTATCAAGGCACTGGGCCCTGCAGTCCTTCCCTGACACTGGGAGAGCACCAGCCCCCCTGCTTGCCCATGCTGTCTGTGCAAGGGACAGGTGTGGGGCAGACATGAAAAGCACATTAGAAAATACTTAAAAATGAATATTGATCTTCCCTTGCTTGCAAGCTCTAGCTGGTCCCTGGGGACTTGCTTCCTGGCCAAGGCAGGACTCTCTTCTGGGCCCTGTCACCTCTGCTCTGGGGATCCTTGAATGTCTCTTGCAACAGAAAGTCTTTTTGTTGCTTTCCTGCCCAGTCCTATTGGGATTAGCCCTGCTCAGTGCAGCTTGAAAGTGAGGAAAGCACAAACCTGGATAGGGAGTGATGCTGGGGAAACCACTTTCTATTGAGCTTATTTGTGAGCTATCCTGTTTCATCCCACTGGCAAGCTCGTTATTCCCAGGAGAGGCTCCACCTCATTCCCTGAGCCCTGAAATTGATGCTTTATCTTAGAGCCAGGGGCATGGATGTAGGTGTCCCTGGTCTGCCCCAAAGCATGGCTGGTATAAAGAGTTCCTGGCATTTGACCCTTTCTTGAATTTTTGTGCTGGGGAAAGTGTTGAGCTTCCCAGAGGTTGGCTGGAGGTTGTGCCCAAGCCAATTAGCTAGACACAACCTGAAAGTTTGCAAAGTATGTGTGGAAGACAGAAAAAGAATATGTTGGAGTCTGTTTCAAAGCCAACCTCAGCCCTGAGCTCTGTTACCCCCAGCTCCTGTGGGGCTATGAAGGTGAAAGTCCTTTTCGGTCCCACATCTTGAAGGCAGAGGTGTAGAGGCTGGTAAAATTGAGAAAAGGAATGACTGGTAGCTGCCTCTCCCGATGTAAGAACAACTAGGGGAATCCTCTCCTTGCTGTAGGACATGTGCTAAAGGTTACCTGAGTGTAAAAATTGTGTGGCGTGGGTGTGCTGTGCAGATGATGTCAGAGTCTCTAAGCAGGGCTGTCAGCCACCCCGACTTCACCACTGGGTCAGGAATTCCTGAGCCACAAATAGCCGGCGTCTGGGAAGGTGTTGAGGGGGAGTGTTGCTACATGCTTGGCCTGTTCATACCCGCTCCTGGGCACCTGCTGTTGTCCACCGTCAGAGATGAGATCCTGTGCCAGGCAGGCTTTTGGCCAGCTCACTTGGCCACTCTTTTAAACGTTTTCCCAGTGCCTCAGCCATTTCATTCTCTTGTCTCTCGTCCCTCCAGCTGGTGTCTGCAGAGGGTTCCCATTCAGATGCTGGCTCAGTCTGTGCCGATAACCAAACGGAGCTGCCTCCTTCCATGGAGCGCACGGGAGGAATTGGAGACTCCAGGCCCCCCTCTTTCCAGTAAGTTACTGGGACACCTACCCTGGTTTCTGAGGGGCCCACAGTGACTTTGGTGTAAATCCAGACCAGGGACTGGGACACTCCTACCCAAATTGGCAGGGATCGCAGCCAGCCAGAGGGGAGGAGGATGGGGCTGAGAACATATTCGAAGTGGAGCTGCATTATTCAGCAAGCAAGGGCATGCTGAAAATAGTGCAGGGAAGTTGGCAAAGAGCTGGCACAGCTTCCCCCAGTCCTTTTCCCTGCACTTAAAGATGTGCTATGGTTATTCCCCACCACCTCTGTTTGGGATTCTCAAGGAGGAGACAGCTGATGGCTGGAGGCTCAAGCTGGCCAGCGCAGAGGTAGAGAGAGCCCGCTTAAGTTGTTCCCTGTTGGACGTATTTTGTTTCTTTTATCTCATCGCAGCCCTAACACTGGGGGGAGTCGAGAAAACTTGGACAATGAGACAGAGACAGACTCAGTGGTGTCATCACAAAGGGAACGACCTCGTCGGAAAGATGGGCCTGAGCATGGTGAGTGTTGATAACGTGGCAAGAGCTCTGCAGGGCACGGCTGGGCAGGGTGGGGGCACTAGCTCCAGACATGGGGCAGCTCTGTCTGTTCTGCAGAACCTTCCCAGCTCAGAAGGGCTGTTCAGTGGTGTGAGGCCATAGCCTCGTGTTGGAGGCAGGAGCTAACCCCTGTATTACATCAGAGCTTGGTAACAGAACCTTTGGGGGCAAAGGAGCTGTCTACTGTAGAAGCCTCAAGAGCAGGAGAGAGAGGCAGCAGTGCCTCAGTCCTCCTTAGCCGAAAAGCAAAGTGCACCATAGCCTTGGCACTCCATGCTGCTCCTTGGTCTGCCAAGACACAAGCTGCAAGAGTCTTCCATGGCTTTAGCAGCGTTGTTCCTAGTAGTCCATCATACCTCTACCCCTCAGTGGGGTAGAAGAGGTATCCCACAGAAGATGGATTTGATCCCAGGGTGGGCTTGGAGCTGGCCGGCACTAGATGGGGTTATCTGTTTGCCAGATTCATTCTAAGAAGGTTGTCTTGGTCCCTGCACGGGGGAAGGAGGTGTTCACCTGTGGCCTGTCTGAAGCATACTGAGCCTTGTCTTTCCATAGCACCCAGGGTGAATGGTACAGTGAAGGGAGAGCGACGCCGAGACCTGGGTGGGTACGAGAGCTCCTCCACGCTCATGAGCAGTGAGCTGGAGACCACCAGCTTCTTCGATTCAGATGAAGATGACTCCACCAGCAGGTAGGACATCTTAGGTCCTGGAGTAACACTGGCTTCCCCCTCCCTCCCAGCACAGAGAGATGCCTCTGTAGGGCACAATAATCCTGAGCTCCAGGGTCCTTGCCTCTGTCTCAAGCCTCACCCAGTAGCCCCCTCTGCTATTTTCTCTTCCCCGTGTACATTCTGCTCCTGCAGTCCTCTATTCCCTGTGCCATTTCTCTGGTTCTCTTGCTGCTAGAGCCACCATTTTGGCAGCAGAAGAGCTGACGTTTGATTTTTGTCTCTAGGTTTAGCAGTTCGACAGAGCAAAGCAGTGCTTCCCGTCTAATGAGGAGGCACAAGCGACGCCGGCGGAAACAGAAGGCTCCACGCATTGAGCGGGTACGCAGGGGCTGGGTCTCCTGGGGAGGGCAAGGTGGGTGCCTGGTGGGTCTCCCCACTCAGTGCTCCAGGGCTGATCAAGAATTAGGCTGTGTTTGCTGTGGGCACAGCTGGGGACAGGTGGTGTTCAAGTGCTGAGACTTCATAAAGTGCTGTAAACCTTTCCCAAGCCAATGCAGCCTCAAGACCTGGGGCCACAGACCTCGTCCAGACTGTGGAGAGGTCATAAGGACTGTGACTGATGCCCTCTGGCTCTGTAAAGCTCCCAGCATAAGGCTGGAGTTGTGGGTGGTGGCTGTGGTGCCACAGGGAGTGGCGGCAGGAAGCACAAGTGGAGGGAGCTTGGGCTGGGAATGTTACCAAGGCACAGGAGGGCATCTCAGATTTTACTTATGTTGCAGTCATCGTCCTTCAGCAGCATCACAGACTCCACCATGTCCCTGAACATCATCACGGTCACACTGAACATGGGTGAGTGGGTGCTGTGCATGGAACCTACAGTCCTTCCAGAGCAAATCGGGTGGCAGAGAGGGAACTGGGGAGGGGCCAAAGAGAGAACATGCGAGGAGGAGTGAGGAGATGGGTTCTGTAGGAAAGTGTCTTGTCTTGAAGCGCTGGCATCTCAAGAGTTGCTCTGCGTCCCAGGACATCTCTCTGGGACACGAGTACAAGTGACCATTGTTAGCATGTGGTTCATCTGAGGTCAGGGCTGCTTGTGCTTTATGGTGTCTTTACCTTTCTCTTTCCATCCCTGCAGAGAAATACAACTTTCTGGGCATTTCTATTGTGGGACAGAGCAATGAGCGTGGGGATGGAGGCATTTATATTGGCTCTATCATGAAGGGCGGCGCTGTGGCAGCTGATGGCAGGATTGAGCCAGGAGACATGCTCTTGCAGGTACTTCACGCCCACATACCTCCATCTTTGGGCCTGGGAAAGCAGTAAGAAAAGACCCAGAAGCCTCCCTGTGCACTTTGGCAGGCTAAACCCAGGAAGCTGCACTTGGAAGAGGGAAGCTGAGTCACTGCTGAGCTGACTGGGGAGCTCAGCCTCTGGTCACATCTCTGGGACTCACTTCTTTGCGTTGTTTGCAGGTAAATGACATCAACTTTGAGAACATGAGCAACGATGATGCTGTGCGGGTGCTGAGGGAAATTGTGCATAAGCCGGGGTAAGTACTTGCTTGGGTTGTTCCTTGCCTCCACAGGCAGCTGTATGGCGTGTGCTTGGGATGTGAGTCATGTCTTACAGCCACCTCTGGCAGTGACTCTGCAGAAGCTCAGAAGTTAGGCTTCTGATGTTGCTTTGATTCCTGGGTTTTCATGCCCAAAGCAAGAGTTGCAGCCAACAGAATGTTGGTGAATTGGGGTCTGTGCCCCTTTTTTGTGGGGATGCTGTGTCATTAGGGTCATCAACAACCCTCAGCAGGGTCACATAATTTTGTCCACGCTGCTAAGAAAATCCATAGCTGAAGAGAGACACGGACACTTTACTGGCAGCTTCTCCCTGCCTGGCAGGAGAGGGCCAGCATACAGCATCTGCCCGTCACGCAGGGGTTTGTGCCACTGGGCTCCTGTTCTAACTCTTGACTTTTTGTTGCAGGCCCATCACCCTGACGGTGGCCAAGTGCTGGGACCCCAGCCCTCGGGGCTGCTTCTCGTTACCCAGGAGTAAGTGGATAGCTGACCCACCCTTAACGCTGGTGCCCAGCTCATGTGAGAGCCCTGCCTTAAGCACTTACTTGGTTGTTGTCTTGTTCCTCCCCTGTGTGTGTGACTCCATGTGGCACTGAATTGGGGTTTGATGGGGTTTCAGCTCTCCTCTTGGGAGGCTGCTATGTCCTATTCCCAGGCCAAAATGCCCATAAGCCCAGCCCTCCTTCCCACATCACGCTGGGGACGCGTTTCACTGGGGCAGGGGGGTCACTTGCTCGGGGCGCCAGAGGAAAGAGAAACCCCTCCTTGAGCCATAGGGGGATCTCTCCCTCTGCACCTCTCCTGCTGACCCTCCCTCTCTTCTTTCTCTCCCAGTTGCTCCCCAGCGGATCTGGGCTGGGCCAGACTCTCCATGCTCCGATCCGGGTGAGTCCCGGCAGATGCTGGGGATGGAATGGGCTGTGCTGAGTCCCTGTCCCTCCCCAGAGGTTCGTTTGATGAGGGTATAATTTCTTACAGCTACTGACTGACTCTTTCTTTTTTTTTTTTTTTCAATGCAGGTGAGCCCATCCGGCCTATCGACCCGGCAGCCTGGGTGTCTCACACGGCAGCGATGACTGGCACCTACCCAGCGTACGGTATGAGTCCATCCATGAGCACAATCACTTCCACCAGCTCCTCCATCACCAGCTCCATCCCAGAGACCGAACGTAAGTCCTTGTGCCTCCGTGCTCCACCCACTGCACGGCTTCCTCGCCTTCACTGTGCTGTAAAGGGAGCAATACATCTGCTTGGGGACATCTGGGATGGGCAAGATCTGCCCTGCCAAGGGACTAGGAGGGAGGCAGCTCTCACCAGGCAGGCACTTAAATCAGTGGGAGTTCTGCCTGGGTGAATTAATACCACATTTTTTCAGCCTTCTACATAAGCAGAGTAGGAGAGCCTGGGAGCAATCCAGGAGCTATGGCAGGTGCAGAGGAAAGGCTCAGGGCAGTCAGTGTTAGTGGCTGAGAGTGTGGGGCAGAGGGATTCAGCTTATTGGGAGCAGTTGCCCTCCCAGCAGATAGGGCAGGAGAGGAGGCAACTGGGAGCAAAGAGCCTTGCAAGTAGGGCAGGATCCTGCTAAACACAGGGCTCTTTTACTTGCATTCTGAAGCTTTTGGGTGATTCTAGTATACAGAGCCTGAAGCTAAGGGTCTGGAGAGCTTGAATGGGGCAAAAAGTCAGGAGTCTGTTGTAAATTTGTGAGGAGCAGAGGGTTATCTTTCTGGCCTGTGTGGGCTCAATTGGTGGCTTTTGGATCTCAGCTGCTTGGGACTGGCTGGAAAGAAGGAAACTCTAGCCTGGGTTTTGCACAGAGGAAATGGCTGATGTGTGACGGGTAACATGTGTGAAGGCTGGAAGGGGAGTTACACAGCATGTGCCCCAAGGCTGTCTGCAATGTATTGTTCCCTGGCCCATTCCTCCTGTGTGTGATGCTTCCATATGGCCCTGTTGTCTTTTCTGTCCTGTCTCACCTCTGCATCCCTTCCTTCGTTCACACCACAGGCCTCGATGACTTTCACCTGTCCATCCACAGTGACATGGCCACCATTGTCAAAGCCATGGCCTCACCAGAGTCAGGCCTGGAGGTGCGTGACCGTATGTGGCTGAAGATCACCATCCCCAATGCCTTCATCGGTAAGAGACTGTGCTGTCCACAGAAAAAGAGGGGACAGGGCAATGAGTGGCCTGTTTTCCAAGCAGATGCCCAAGGGAGCATCTCTGTCACCACAAACTAATTGTTGAACAGGCCGGAGTCACAAATTGAACCTTTGGCCATGCAGTCCCTTTTCACCTTTTGGCCCTCTTTGTTGTGGCTCCAGTTTGGCCCACTGCCTCAAGGGCAGCTGTCTTCCTCTCTTGCTGTATTTAACTCTGATGTTTGGTGGCAGGTTCGGATGTGGTGGATTGGCTCTATCACCATGTGGAGGGCTTTACAGACCGTCGTGAATCCCGCAAATATGCCAGCAATCTGCTGAAGGCTGGCTACATCCGACACACCGTGAACAAGATCACCTTCTCGGAGCAGTGCTATTACATCTTCGGGGACCTCTGTGGAAGTATGACACTTGGTGTGGGTGGGAGGGAGAGGATGGGAGGGGTAGAGGTCCTGCAGAGCCCTGATGACATCATGGGGGCATAGATACAGCCATTGCCATCTGGCTGGGCCTCTTGTTCTACACACCCTTCATCACTCTCTAACAAGCTATCTCAGCTGCTTTGTCGTGCTGCTGGAGTGGTGAAGTTGGAAACAGCATTGTCAGTGTCACCTATTATGTGATCTTTTCTCCTAGGCGGCCACAGCAGAGTCTTAGTCTTCAGGCTCTGAACTTCCAGTGCTTGCAAGGGGGTGGTGCTCAGACTACTGGGTTCTGCTCAAATAAGGGATGGGGGGAAGTAATTAGCAGGGCGAGCTGTAGCTGTGATGTGGTCCTTTCCCACCAAGCTGGTCTCTGTATTAGGACGGCAGCTCGGACTCACACAGCCTGGCTGTTCTCCAGCCAGGAAGCACAAATGGTTGTGCTGTCTATCAGGGAGAGTGCCAACTTGTGTCTCCTTCTATACCTGGTCCTTGTCCATCAGCAGGGGCAGAGAGGGAACTTCATCTCACGTGGTTGTCTTTCCACTTGCATTAATCCCTCTTCTCTGCTTTCTTGCAGACATGGCTAATCTTTCTCTTCACGATCACGATGGCTCCAGTGGTGCCTCTGATCAGGACACTTTGGCTCCACTTCCCCACCCAGGAGCTGCACCCTGGCCTATGGCTTTCCCGTATCAGTATCCACCACCTCATCCATACAACCCCCACCCCGGCTTCCCTGACCCAGGCTATAGCTACGGAGGGGGCAGTGCAGGCAGCCAGCACAGTGAAGGTGAGTGAAAAGGACTAAAATATGCCTGTGGGTGTGCAGATGCCCTGTTCAGGACAGGGGAGCAGCAGGAAAAGGCTGGTTAGGCAAGGTCCTGGGGCAGGGGGGGAAGCCAGGGCAAAAGCCATCTCAGAAGGTCTGTGGGATCTGGAGTTGAAAGTAGGCTGGGAGCACGGCTGTGCTGCAGCATGCTGTAGTCCTCTCTTGGCTAGAGGAGCATCCTTTCCTCATGGCTTGTCTGAGCTGTTGCCTAACTTTGCCTCCTGCGCTTCGCAGGGAGCCGGAGCAGCGGTTCCAATCGCAGCGGCAGCGAGAGGAGGAAGGAGAGAGAGAAGACCGGGGAGTCCAAGTCAGGTGGCAGCGGGAGTGAGTCGGACCACACCACGAGAAGCAGCATGCGACGTGAGCGCGCGGCCAGCGAGCGCTCGGTGCCGGCCAGCCAGCACAGCCAGCGTAGCCAGCACTCTCTGGCTCACAGCATCCGCAGCCACCACAGCCAGCAGTCGTATGGGCCGCCCGGCCTCCCCCCTCTCTTCAGCCCCCCCATGTTGCTGATGCCTCCACCGCCTTCAGCCATGGGGCCCCCCGGGGCGCCGCCGGGTCGTGACCTGGCCTCTGTGCCCCCCGAACTGACAGCCAGTAGACAGTCCTTCCGAATGGCCATGGGCAACCCCAGTGAGTTCTTTGTGGATGTAATGTGAAGCGCCCGTCCCCTGTCTGTCTGCTGCCCCTCCTTCCTCCCCTCTATCCCTGTCGTTTGTCTCCTAGGACCAGCCCTGGCTTTCACCCCTTGTTTTTTGGGTTTTTGTTTTTTTGTTTTTGTTTTTTTTGGTCTTGATAACGAAAAGAAAAAAAGGGAAAAAAAAATAAATGGAACTAAACCTCGATTCTAATCCCTCCTCGAGCGGGGTGGACGGGCCTGGCAGGCCTGCTGGGTGCTGCCAGCCCATCCTGCCACCAGACTTGTGTATTGCCAATGGTAATTCCCTCCTGCCGTCCTCTCTAACCCCATTAATCCGCACCCGTCCCAGCGCCCTGTGCTGCTTGCCCGTGTGTCACTGCTGCCTTGGTCCTTCCACCCTAAACATCTCTTCTTTCTTTTCACCCTTTTGTGTTTCTTCTGTCAAGCAGCAAAGAATTACGGGGTGTTTGACTTTCTCTGAGCCTGCCGCCTGTGGGGGGGAGAGCTGGAGCATGGCGTGGCCCGACAGGAGGACACGGAGCTCCAGGGGCGCTGGGCACGCATGGCGCTGAAGATGGCTTCTTTCCTCCCCTTTGCGGAAGACGCCCTGCCCTTCCCGCAGCCCTGAGAGGGGAGCAGGGACCAGCCTTATATATGTGTTTTAAATCCCGTTGTAGTCGCCTTTTGGCTAATGCATGAATGTTCCAGGGCTTCAGTGCCTCTGGGGAGTGGAGGGATGCTGCCACTTCCCTCTTGCCTCCCTTCCCTTGCCCACACATTGGGCCAGGTCTGAGCCTGGCATTGCCCCGGGGCAGGACCCTCCTTCACCTTGCCTGGGCTGTGAGTCTCAGGGCTGGGGCTGTACCTCTGTAGTCAGCCCAGAGTGGTGGTGGGTGCCTGCACAGTCTTGCACAACTCGGGGCCCTGCACCTGCCCTTGAGTACTTGGGGGGGATTTAAGGGCAGAGTTCTGTTCCCTCTATCCTCCTTTTTGCCCTCTTGCCTGCGACATACCGCTGCCTGTCCCATTTGTAGGGGCTGTCCCATGCCTGGGGCTGCTGGTGGCAGCTGTGGCCTTCTCCCTCCTGCTGTTACACTCAGCAGTGTGACATCTTCAAGGGCTTGGATGGAGATAAAACTGTTTTGCTTTCATGCTTTGGGGAAACATAGAGGTCCCCTGTATTTGCCCTGTGAAGGGCCCAAGCCTGCCTCCTACTCTGCCCAGGACGAGGAGCGCTGCTGGCCTGGCTGCCAGGAGGGATGAGACTCTGGGATGAAGGTGGGATGGTCCCACTTCCTCCGCGCTGTCGACAGCACCTGGCAGCAACATGAGCTCTCCGGGGAGGGAGTCTGCAGCCTGAACTGTGGCCTCTGGGCTCGATGCCCGCAGATATGTCAGGACAGTTGGGTCTGTTTGCTCTGGCGTTCCCTGCCCTTTTTCATTCCTCTTCTGGGTACTCAGAGATGTGCCTCGGGCTGGGGGCAGCCCCTTCCCCATGCCCAGGGCCAAGCACGGTACAGTACAGACACACTCGACCCTGCTCCCGTCGGTGCTGGCACCCTGTCCTACTGCCGCGCCATGGCTTTCTCTTCAGGCATTGCCTCCTGTCTTTCTCACGTTTGCAGTTTTTATATGCTGGAGATGTGTTTTGCTCCTTGGGGGTCTGCCTTGCCCCTACAACCTCTCTGCCAGCTCTCATGTGCCATCAGTTCATCTCCCTGTGACTCCCTAAAGCCTCGGCTTTCCGTCAGCCTGCCCTGCGCCTGCTCTGCCATCCGCCTGTCCCCTGATCTGGGCTCCAACAAGCTGCCGCCTATCCCCCCTCTCCTAATGCCACCCAGCAGCCTCCCTGGCCACTGCTCACGTCCTTGCCCTACCCTGCCCGCTGGGTTTTATACAAACAAAACCAATCTCCTTGTTTTTATTTATAAACATAGTTTTATTGGACTCCTGCTTTGTGTTGTTTTTTTTTTCCCCTCTTCCCCAGCTGCTTCTTTTCTGCCCTGCCTTTTACTCCCAGCGGGACGAGAGCACCCTGTGCCTGTTTTCCACCTGAGACCGTTTTCCCGGGGTGCCGAGGGCCCCAACCTGGGCTCGGCCCGGCCTCCCGCTGCCGCCGCTCCCCGGTGCGGGGCCTGCCCGCGGGCACTCGCTGTTCCTGGGGGTCTCCCGTTCCCCACGGGTACACCGTCGGAGGAGGAATCAATCTGACAGCGGGTGCTGCTCCGGCGCTTGGTGCAGCTCCGCTCGGCCGCGCTTGCGAGGAGGGGAAGGGAGCGAACCCCGCGGGTGCGTGGGACCGGCAGCGCCGTGGAGGGGCACGGTGGCTTCGGGCCTCTACGTGTGTGCGGAGGAGGAGCAGCCTTCCCGCCCGGGCGCACCCCTGTGACCGGG